GGCTGGTGGGTGAAGAAGGGGATTCTAACCAAAAAGCAGACTGATTAGAACAAGACTCGGCAAGAAGAAGACAATCTAAAGAAAAGAAAGGCGACTCACCACGGGCGGGGGGTTGGGGCGGGAGTATGGCTCCTTGCCGAATCGCCAGTCCTCCGGGAGCCTGCTGTCCGAGAGGTAGTTCACCATCAGGGCCACCTCTTCGTGAGGCATGTCCTTGGTGCACATCCGACTCGGGTCGCGGCCCCCGCTCATTAGGCATATCAGGTGAGGGTGGCCTTGGAGTGGGAGAACTCGGCGCGAGACGAAGGCGGCCAGCAGGTCCGGGCCAGTCAGACCCTCTGACTGCGTCAGCACTCGGAGTCGCGTGATGGCGCCGGCTCCCGCATGCGTCAGCGACCTGGCCCGGTACGACCAGTTGGGCAGCCTGTCAGCCGGCGGGCCGGCTTCGAAAGCCGGCAGATTAACCCAGTCGCCCCACATGGCGATGTTCGTGACGTAGAAGTAGGACCGCTGCCACATCTTCACCGACTTCAGAAGTGCGATGGAGGGGAAGTGGTTGTCGGCTCCTGTCCTTCGCACGACGATGATGGCGCCGCACTGAGCCGGCACGCCCGCGGCCTGGGTGCCGAGCTTGGAGAAGAAGAACTCCCCCCAGAGCTCGAGGGTGGGAGGACTCTCAGGAAGTCCTAGCACAGAGCCACGAAGGCGGACAGCAGCACCACTGTGTTGGGGGTGAGGTGGTGCAGCTGGAGTCCGTAAAACTCCATGAATGACCGGAGGAAGCTGCTCGCCGGCAGCCCCAGCCCGCGCAGGCAGTGCGAGCGGAAGATGACCCGCTCGCCCTCCCGCGGGGCGAGGGAAATCTCCCCCCCCCCCCCGCGCAAGGCGCACCTGCACGCGATCCTCGCCGGGAAGACGACGGGTCCGGCGGAGGAACTCGATATGGTCTTCGTGGACCTCAAAGCCGTCCTAGGTGCCGGAGCGCACCGGGGAAGGCACAACAGCAGAGGAAGAGCTCATCGTCGCGAGCGGTCACCACAGCGTGCGCCGGAGCTTGGGCGTGCGGCGGAGCGAGCGAGAGAGAGAAGAGAGAGGAAGCAGGAGAGCGAAGGAGCTGCGAGGAGGAAGAAAGCAAGGGGCAGTAGGAAGGAGGGGCGCGCGTGCTCCCCTCTTCCCCCTACTTATAGCCCTCAGGGCTGCGAAGCCGAGGGGGCGGACGTGGGGATTTACTGCGCCCACAACCCCACACCCCCCACGATCCCTGCAAAGTTACTACGCGCAGTAACTCCACAGGAATCCTAACCATCCACCGGGGCCACAGCGGATCCGCTCGGGCGCCGAGGCGCGGTAGTGGCGGGCCCCGCCTACGGTCCTGTCCCGTCGCGCGCGTGGGCTGGTAGGACGGCCTGCCCACGTGCCCTTGTGTGACAGGCCCGGAACGGGCGGCTTTCTCTGGAAGCTTAGCTAGCCCGCCACTTGAAATCCCGCCGCGACGTTCGAACTGCTGAACGAGTCGGAATTTAGTGAGTCCGAGTTGGGCAAGTCCGATTCCTTCTAGTCAGCCCGGCGGAAGTCAATCAAGATCATGTGTTGCACCCGGAAAGGGAAACTGCTGAGGCTTCTCGACCGATCGTCCGCGACGCCTCACCAGCTTCGGGGACTACTGTCGGAGTAATGGGCCACGGGTAGGCCAACCCGAGCCCCACGACCTTTCAAGACATCGGGGCAGGCTGCGCCCCTCAAGACCACAGTGCGAAGAGCCGCCTCCTGGGGAGTCTACGGCAAGACGGCCGACTGTCCGCTCATGGACGAGTCCCAGGGACGACTTCCAGAGAAGTCGGCTTTGGGGAGTCGGCCGGCGACTCCAACAAACCGTGACCTCATCGAGGGGGACGGGGCAGGGGGGTGGCTACAATGAAGCCCACTCCCCGCCCCTTACCAAGGACAGGCACGGCTACAGCGCGCCGTACTTGGGAAGATCTCCCCGCGGCGTGGCACTGTTGCCCAGCCGGCCCTGACATCAGCACCACTGTACCTAGTCCTGCGCCCACGACGGCTTGTCTGTACGGCCTGAAGGCAGCAGGGCCCACCAGCGAGCGAGACCTCGGGAGACGGCGGGAGCATCGCCAGTCGGACCCAACGGGAGTCGGCCTGGGGGAGTCGGCCGAGCCCTCCCCCGGGCCCATACGCCATTAATCAAGAAGAGATGAGGAGTGGCCACAGTGATCGCCCGCCAGGCGGCGGGGCTGTTGCCACGACCCCATGACCAAGCTTGCATCATCGGGAGCACGGCTACAGTAATCAGCAGCCGGCAAGACCCGCCAGCGGCGGACGCGGCCTGTCGGCTCCATACCAGACCAGTCGCAGGGCCCACCAGTCGGCGGGCCCCAGCAGTCGGCGGAGAAGTCGGAGGTCAGAGACACTGACGGCTGGGCCCGCGCCCAGTCACATTACCATTGTACCCCTGCGGGGTAGGCCTATATAAACCCCTCAGGGCACCCATGCAAAGGGTTGGATCCCAGTAGTTCTATACCTCACCAGATAGAGGGAGAGAGCTAGCCTTGCCCTCTCCTACCACCATACACAGCTCAAGAAGCAACCGTGTAAACACTTGACCATAGTGATCATGCGAAGACCCCGCAGAGCAGCAGTAGGGTTATTATCCCCCCGGAGAGCCCCGAAGCTGGGCAAGATCCGCCGGCTTGCATGTCTTCGCCTCATCCCGTTTTCAGGCACCGGCGACGTTCTACTCGCCCCCACCATGATAAGCCATTCGTTGTCATATGTCGCACCAAACCCCCGACAGTTTGCAGGAGACGAAGCCGGCCAAGGTTGACAATGATGCGTGGGAGGATATGCAAGTGCAGGCGGCCGCTACCATATGGCTTTTTCTTGCGGATCAGGTCATGTATCATGTCATGGAAGAAGATTCTCCTAAGGGAATTTGGGACAAGTTGGCAAATCGTTATATGTCCAAGTCAGCGACCAATAAGCTATATTTGAAGCAAAAGTTCTATGGGCTGAAGATGCAGGAGGGGTCAGATCTTGTGGAGCATGTGAATGCCTTTAATTAGTTGGTCACGGATCTAGCGCGTCTGGATGTGAAGATTGAGGACGAGGATAAGGCACTACTTCTTCTTGTTTCGTTGCCACCGTCCTATGAGCATTTGGTCCATTGACACATGGAAAGACAACCGTCAATAATGAGGAAGTCACTGCATCGTTGCTTGGACATGAGTTGAGGAAGCAAAAGAATGCTACAAAGGAGAGTACTCAAGGTTTGGGGTTGGCAGTTAAAGGTTATCAGCTCAGGAAGGGACAAGAGGCGAAGAAGAAAAAAAGAAAAAGATGCAGTGCTACAGGTGCAAGGATTGGGGACATATAAAGAGGGAATGCCCAGAACTGAAGGGTGGGGCAAGTGCTAATGCGGCTACTCGTGGTGATGACTCGGACAGCAGTAGTGATGTTCTCGTAGTATCAAACATGCGGTCAACAAAAACTGAAGCGTGGATGTTGGATTCAGCTTGCTCTTTTCATGCGACGCCCAATAGGGAGTGGTTCTCTTCATACAAGTCTGGTGAGTTTGGTTTAGCCTATGTGGGCGATGATACATGTTATCGTGTTGCTGGAGTAGGTGACATCAAAATCAAGATGTTTGACGGAGTTGAGCGGATGCTTCGGAGAGTCAGGCATGTGCCAGGGCTAAGGAGGAATCTAATTTCACTTGGTGTTCATCATGATGGTGGTATGGAATTCCGTTGTGATCTGGATACGAAGACCATGAAAATCATGGAAGATGGGGTGACTGTGATGATAGGAGAGAGGACGGCTTCACATCTTTACAAATTGCAAGGGAGCATTATTGCAGGTGGAGCATGGGGAGTAAAACTGCAAGAGTAGCAGTGGAGTCACACGGTGGCGGCGGGTCTGGCCCATCGGGTAGCTCTCCGTAAGCTACAAAGGAGACAACCCAAATCCGGAGTACATGGAGGTTTGAGCATGTACGACTTCTAAGTGGTGGAGAATATTCGCCAAGGTGGAGTTTGTTATATTTGTGTCGAATATTATATACGCAGGGGGTTACGTGAACTTGGAGTTGTAATTGGTGTGGTTAGGTACGAGTTGTGTAGGAGTCGGACACTTGTATCCTAGGCCTCTTATATACGGAGGGGCACCACACGTTATAACTCATGACGACTTGATGGCAACAGGTACGAGGGAAAGCCGACGGCTTGTGTCGGCGCCCGGACTGCCGGTGTTGCGGTATCTTGAGGAGGAGCGCCCGTAGTCATACCCCGGGAATGTAGCCATATCGGTGAACCTCATTAACAAATATCGTGCCTCGGTGTGTCGTCTATAATTTTGCATTAGCGTTTTATTCTAACACAGGACACCATCAGCTGGCGCTCCTCAGGTCGTCTCCGTCTTTGGCCACGTGCAAAGCGAAATCGAGGGTCGACTGAAAAAAATGGTGGCTGATATTGTTTTAAGCATTTGCACAGCGACTCACGCTGCATGTTATACACAAGATCAAAATAGAAAAAATAAACATACTCAAAATATTGGAGTGAGAAGAAAATGATTTTCATGAGGAGGAAATATTACCAAGCACCGCATAGCACATGTTCCTGATTTAGGTGCTACTCTCTTCATCCTAAAATATAAAAGCGTTTTTGACACTAGAGTTAGTAATATTTTATACTACCTCCGTTCCATAATATAGAATGTTTTCTGATACTAATGTAGTGTCAAAAAAGTGTCTTATATTATGGAACGGAGGAAGTACATGTGATAAAGCAAACATAGGAAAAAAATCGTAAAGAAAAGAAAAAAAATCTAAACCCGAGGAACACCGGCAAACTGGACGAACCAAGCATCGGCCTATAAAAACGCCACGCCGCGCTCCCCTGGAAAAGCAGAGCATTCTCACGCCAACTCCGTCCGTCCGCGCCATCAACCCACCAAAAGCAGAGCACCCCTCAGCCGGCGAAAAGGGAGCGATGGCCAAATGCGGCAAGATCCAGAGCATCGTCCGCCTCCAGCAGACTCTGCGGCGGTGGCGGTCCCGGGCCGCGGCGGCGCCGACGGCTCCGGTGCCGGCGGGGCACGTGGCAGTGTGCGTGGGCGGCGCATCGCAGCGGTTCGTGGTGCGCGCGGCGCTCCTCAACCACCCCGTGTTCCGGGAGCTGCTCCGGCAGTCGGAGGAGGAGTACGGCTTCCCGTCCACCCCCGGCCCCGTCGCGCTCCCCTGCTGCGACGAGGACAGCTTCCTCGACGTCCTCCGCCGCGTGTCCTCCGAGGACCGCCTCCTCCGCTCGTTCTGCTGCCGCGTGCCGGTCGTCACCAGCCGCGACGTCGCGGCACGGCCGCTGCTGCAGGGGATGGCGGTGGAGAAGCTCGTGTGGTGACTGGTGACCACTCGAGAACATCTCGCGTGCCTGCCGCTGCCGAGAAGACCGACTGGTCGATCCTGCTTACGGAGCAAGCGATGACACATCGGTGCTCCCATGCCCGGCGTAAGCGTAACGGCGGTGCTCCACAACCGTGAACGGGCGACGGCGCCGCGGGTGTGCAAGTGAGGTTGCGTTGCGTGGCGTCTGCGCCACCGCCTTGCAGGCGGCCCCGGTAACGGAGCGAGCAGCTGCCGCCGCGGATTCGGCGCCGACGAACTTGCGGGCGCCGCGGGGTTCAGGAGCGGCCTCCGCAGAGGCGCCTCCTGGCGGGCGGGCGCGCCGCGCGGCGGAAGATGTCGCCGGCAAGCGCTGCATGGTCCTTCCGTCATGCACCGCTGCATGTGCTATCGTGGAACCCGTGGGACCCACCTCTGTTTGCTTTTTGAACCAACGATCCCGGATCATTAGCACGCGAGTAATGGCAGTGCGAATATGTTTCAGACGTCATCACTCCACTAATTGATCGAAGAAGGCGACAATTTTTGTTTACTCCTTGCCGACGCACAGCAGTAAATTACTAAAGATTGATTGATTGGTCTTGTTGTACTCCCTTCGTTTTTATTTACTATGCATATTAGAGTTGACTGAAGTCAAACTTTGTAAAGTTTGATCAAGTTTATAGAAAATAATAGACATTTATCATAATAAATCTATACGATGTGAAAGTACATTTAATAATAAATTTAATGTTGTTGATTTGTTATTGTATATCTTAATATTTTTGTATATAAACTTGGTCAAAGTTTGTAAAGCTTGACTTTGACCAAAGCTAATATGCGAACTAAATAAAAACGGAGGGAATACATGTAATCGGTCTTCGTTTGTGATCATTCATGCGTTCATCATGTTGATGTGTCGCAGCTTGTCTTGGCTGTTCACCATTCTCTTTTTGCGAGAATTAATCATATTTTATATATAAAGAGAGCTCTTTCCTCGATTTCTATCATTAGAAACCACTTATATTCTCCGAAAAGTAAATATTAGGTCTAGCTTTGTAAGATCGAGACGTTGGTTTCGTTTATAAAATCAAAAGTGTGTTCTCGCTTTAACAAAACCTTGCATTATTACTTTCAGTGCAATTCAAAAGCTTGTGCCGATATTGTGTCAGGTGAGCAACACATGCAAATACTAAATTCACTACACTATCAAAACCTTGAAGATACGCAAACCAGGCATAACTCAGTCGATTATGTTCCTTGCTGTCCTAGACTTGGTGTGGACGCTTGCATTTTTATAGTTTTATTTCAGGATTTAACGACTTTTTTTCATGGGAAGCGCATTGTCTCCATCGGCCGGTACAATCTCTCAGAGTGCCTCATATTGATAGATTGTGCATCTGGGTCTTTGTGTTGTGTTTTTAAGAGAGAAAAAACATTCAAAAAATACACTAGTGCGGTACACTAATAACTGCATTAAGTATGACAAATCCTTAATTCAAAACACTTGCTATCTGGTAGCTGCCCTTTTGGTGCATTACAGTCGACTTGCCTTTTCAAAACTCTTGACCTCAGCAAAGCGTAGGGTCGCACATGCGCGATTCTCCTCGGCGGGGGCGACGATGGTGGCGTCCCTTGACTCATCGACTGTTCCAACCCAACTTCTACTCGCAGTGCATGTGCGCAAAGATCGCGTGCGTCTAGTGCAATACAGTATACCGATAGTATACTGTATGTACATTCGTATGCACGCATTGGCATCGGTCCTTCCCGGTGCCTAGTTGTTGTACTAGTCATTGCACTCCTTCACTTGCCGCGCAAAGACACGCTGGTCTTGCCGGGTTTTGGGTGGCGGCCCCCGGATGATGGTTTTGTAAAAATCACAACCGATGGCGCTCTCAATCCGGCGGAGGGTAGAGGAGGAGCGGGAGGTATTGCTCGTTCTCCTACGGCTCTACTTGGTGCCGGGTGCAAGCCATATGTAGGGATCTCCGATCCTTTGATCATGGAAGGACTATCTCTGCGAGATGGGGTTCGGTTCGCATCTCTTCGGGGATTCTCGCAGGTGATAATGAAAGTTGACTGCTTGGAGTTGGTGACACTCTGGAGCACTCGTCACAATTCTCGTTCGATTGTGGCTTCTTTATTTTTAGAGATTGGAGAGCTTAGTCTTCGTTTTCCCTCTTTTGCTATTCTTCATGTAAACAGGCCAGCTAACCTTTCGGCTCACTTGTGTGCTAAGCGTGTTTGCACATTTAATGTGGCCTATAGTTGCTTGACGAGACTCATAGCTTCTTGGTGTCCAGCCTTCTGGCTGATTGTCCTAAGAACGCGTTTACTAAATAAAGCTCTCTGAATTTCTCTGCAAAAAAAAATAGTTGTTGTACTAGCCGTGACTGTCAAGGACAAGCACTGCTCCTTGCTCCTTCTCATGACTGGTGCCGCCCCGTGCACTGTCACCATGCGCATCTTCTTCCTCCGGATCAGATTGCCCAAGTTTCTAGCTAGCTAGCTAGATCGATACGTATATGTATGTATGTACGTAGCGTACATAGGTCGTCTGAAAACGAGAGCGCTACAGTATCAACTGCCTTGCTTGTAGTAACCGTGAGTCCGTGACAATCAAGTACTGCTGCTGTCTTGTGATGATTAGCGCGTCACTCACAAACCCATGTTCTTTTTTTTTTGTGAAACAAACCCATGTTCTTCGGACTACACTGCCCAAGCTTCTAGCTGCTCGAACGTTGCAACATGCATGCATGTATGCTACCGAGCTCATCTGAAAGTGAAGGTGGTAGGGTATCATCAAACTGCCTTTCAAGTCGTATGCAAATTTTTATCATTATTTTTGCGATGAAAGTCGCATTCAAATGTAGCTGTAGCTGTACTATATGGTTGTGTTGCAGAGCCACCCACATGCAACACCAGCACGACAAGCATGGGCATGCATGTATTGCATGGAGTCATCATTTGCACTTACTCACGGGCCACCCACTACGTGCGTAAGCTGATTAATTATGTAAACAAATGACGATGATCTCAACTGCGCAATTGCCGTCGCTACTTGACACGTAAAGCATCTAGGTGAAGCACAATAAGCTCTAGTTTTGGTGGCATTTTTTTGGACGTCTAATCTATTCATTTTCAATCATGACGGTACAACGAGCACCATAATTAATAAAATTACATTCAGATCCGTAGACCATCTAGCGACAACTACAAGCATTGAAGCGAGCCGAAGGCGCGCCGCCGTCATCACCCCTCCATCACCCGTAAACAAATTAAACCTTGTTGTAATAGACAGTCGCGAAGTCGTCGTACTAAGGCCACATAGGACCAGCGCACCAAAAACAACAACTGTCGTCGATGAAGAGTAGCATAGATCGAAAGGATCTAACCTGAAAACACATGAACGTAGACGAACGACGAACAGATCCGAGCAAATCCATCAAGGACAGATTCGCCGGAGACACACCTCCACACGCCCGTCGATGATGCTAAACGCACCACCGAAACGGGACTAGGCGGGGAGAACCTTATTCCATCTTCAGGGAGCCGCCGCCGTCTCGCCTTTCCAAGTTAGACACAAACCCTAACAAATCTTGAAGACACGTCTAAAAACGAAACCCTTCTACAGGCAAAGGCCGGGATCCGCCGCGCTCCCATGACCCTAAGGCCACGGGGCGGAACGGCGCCGACGCTGGTGAAAGGCAGAGGAACCCTAGCTGGGTGGAGGCGGCTGCCTGAGTCACATACGTGAGGCAGACGCGGTACCGTATGGCACCTTAGCTTATATATACAAACACGCATAAAATCAAATCAAATCATGTAAATCTCTTTGCCACATTAGCTGTTGTTCCGTTCCCACAGAAACTAATGCCGATGTCGGAGAAGAGGACCTTTCTGTGCTGTGGCGGCTCATAAAAAAGTAATAAAGGGCAGGAGAGAAAAAAAAAATCAAAAAATTCATTTTTTTTGTGATGTAAGATGCACAAATGTGTGATGCCCGTATAAAAGTTTGTGAATTTTGAACATTTGAGGTGCTCGTGGGAAAAAAATTGGGTACGTGAGAAACATTTAAAAATAACACTGTTCATGCATGATTTAGTATTTTTTTGCCGCACGCAACTAGAATGTCCAAACTTTATCAAATTTTGCACGCACATGCACATCTTTCTTGCAAAAGAAATCTAGATTTTTTGGAAATATTTTTTTTTGTGATTTTACTACTCACCAGGTTCATGTGAGCCCAGGCACCGAAGTGAATACCCGAGGAGAATATGGATATGAGCGCAGGCTTAAATCATTATGAAATTGTTGTCAAACAAGAAGCTAGTTAATGACTTTCATCATCATGAAAAATTGCACCTTCTCGCAAATCATGCATTGTCCAATCACACCCAACAAGGGTTGTTCAGAACAAAATGGCTGAAGAACTGATAATTGAGCAATGGATGCCAACCACTCGCAAAACCATTTGCGGAAATGAGTTGAGTAGTTCATGATTGTCGGGAGGAAAATTAACATGATGGAGATGAATTGTTTCTTTTCCGGCGATTGGAAGGAAGGGCGAAGGCTATATGCCTGTAGTAGAGTGGAGCGACGCGATGACGCATTGGACGAGCTGGAGCATAACCCTTTGCTTAGAGGTGGACGTGACCACAATTTCTTACATAATGGAAGAGAATATCTCCTCTGGCCTTCACAACCGAAGATCATGCACACAACCAATAGGCGACATCAACAAGTAGTATGATGGACTGTGGCTTATGGCCAAAATTTTGAGGTTGAGTCACATAGACCAAGGTGCCATATAATAGTGGTCATCTTGAATATCAACATTGTCTTTGAAATATAACTTCGACCGGTAATTTATATTGGAATATGTTTATAAAATCTATCTTAGAGGACTTGAGGTATCTCCAAAGCAGACTCTAAAATCGAAGGTAAACGTCCGGACCATGCTGTCCAGACTGAGTTTGCTATCCAACTTTGTCCCGCATGTGTCTGCAAACCAGT